TTTATAATTTAATTAAATTATAAAATAAATGAAAAAAAAGAAAAAAAAGTTATAAAAATACAATTTAATTTTTTCATAGAAAACAGAAATTGTTGACTCCAAAAAATCAGCTAACAGAATCTCCGTCACGTCCCCTCCACGTGGACATTACTTTCACATTGAACACACCGTTAGGAGGCAAAGGCCGCCGATCAAGAAGGTCCGGCGATCGTTTGTACTCCGACAGTCAAGTCAATGGTCGAACAAAAAGAAAAAGATCAGTACAAGAGATGGAAGAGAGGAAGTGGATATGGTTAGAGAACATACCTTAATTGAAATTGATCACACACATATATCAAAACAAATGGGCCGAATGGGTAATAGGCCAATGTCCAAGCCCAATAGAAAATATTTTATGGATATAATAGAAATAAATAATAAGAGAGAGAAAGAAAAATAGAAACTAATACAATCAATAGAGAAAGAAATAAACTTTAATCACAATTCTAATGTTTGTAGAAGGGAAAATGAAAGAGAAATATTGAAAAAAAAATACATATTAATTTTTTTTTTAAAGTCTCTCAAAATCTTGTGATTAATAAGAGACAAATTTTATTTGAGTACTTTCTGCTTAAAAACTAGTATCATTAAAACTTTTATAAAAATATCTAAAAATTATAAAAATTTGAATATCCTAAAACTTATAGAGACTTCTAAAAAAATTTAATTGAATACACGACTTTTATAAACTTTTTAAAAGTTTATAAATGTGGTTTTCCACATTTTTAAAAGTTTATAAAAGCTTCATGAGCCATAAATGATTGGACATCTTAAGTATAACTCGTATATTTTCGTTGAAGATGTCTAATCATTTAAAAATATTTAATGAACACTTAAACTCGTGTTAAACACTAAGGAAGTTAAATATTATAATTCGCAAATTAAATACACAAATTATTATCTCACTTTGAGGGAATAAAAAATATTCACCATTTGATGGAGTCTTGACATCTAACATAACACACGATAAGAAATTTTCACCATGGATTAAATAATATATTCTTCCCTTTCAAGTTGCGAGGGAAAATCCTAAACGGTTAGACGTAATTTCAACGGCCACTTCACATCAAATAGAATGGACACGCCTCTTTGGCGCGAGACAGCAATAGAAAAAAAAGAAATTCTTGAAAACTTGAATGCACAAATTAAAGAACAGTAAAACTAAAATATATTCAAATTTCGTTTCTGGGATTCTTAAACGCTCTGCGATAATGGATGAAAACAGCAATCGGAAACTTCAATCCGATTGGTACTCTCCAACTCGCCTCCACAACAGTCCTGTGGAGTATGATTTTCCAGTATGTAATACTGAAAATTTTCATGATTTTCTGAAGGCATGTTTTATTTCCCCTTTCATTATTTTCTATTTTTTGAAGGGAGATAGATTTATACCGAATAGGAGCCCATCGGATCTTGATCAAGTCCACAGTTTGTTAACAACTCCGACTCAAAAACCCAGCAAACCCAAGTTTAAAGTCAGTCCATTATTTTGATTTCTTGAGTTTTCTATTTGGAACCTTTTTTTTCTTGAATTATTTTTGTGGGGTTTTTTGTGTTCTTGGAGGTTTGATTGCCGTTCAATAAAGGATGTATATATAATGTGTAATAAAATTATAAACGATGCTTTATATCTGGGCCTTGGGTTTTTCTTCGATCTTGTTTAGAGATATTTTAATCATTAATAAGAATTGGGATTTCTGATATGGGGATTTTCTTGTATGGATTACATGGTAGGTTGAATATAGAAGAAAGCTAGAAAATAATCTGAAGTTGGATGTTGAAGGAAGGCCATTTCAAATGCTGGTTTTTAGGGGTAGCCCAAAATCGAGTAGAAAATCAAACCGGCTAATAGACGAGATGCGACGGAGTGATGAGGAGATTTTGACTCATAAGCCATGTCAACAATTCCCAAAGGTAAAAGATTTGTAGAATATGCTTTCGGCTTTCCTTTGTAGTTATAAAAATTTTTGGTCTGTTTCTGTTTGATTTTGGTAAGTTGATGGAGTCAGTTCTTGTTTGGTAAAGCAAAATTTGAAATAAGACACTGAATTGTTGGATTGTACTCTTCTCCCCTCGACCACCTAAAGTTTCTACTGTACAAAGGACTTGTTAGGGGGCCATTTTCTCGCGAGATAGAAACTGAGAGGCATGAGAATTTGTTGTATCATTAAAATTTGCAGCATCGAGTAAACATAGATCTCTTGTTGATGAACCACTATGAATCCGTGTGTGCTTTATCATTTCTGGTTGTTTTCTGTTTATTATTACTCTAAGATGTAGGACTAGTGCTTAAATCCATAGCTTGAATAACATTTGGTATACACGAGGCTGCTTCATAGATTAACTTAGATCGTAGAATGTTAAATGTACAGTTCTAATACTGGTATGCTATGTTTCCAGTATTTCAAGATTGTGGGAGGCAAGTTCCTCACAATTTGGAGTGTGGAAGTAAGTATCTTTACAAACTCGTGTTTCATCGAGAAGATGTTATCTTTTACCATTTAACTTATTTACATATATATATTACAAATAATTTTAGAGAAAAATCTACTTTTTTGCTGGCACGATCACTCTACCGTGAATTCTTCCTATGCGCAAATCAAGAATCTTGAGGCTGTTGCGTCAAGGGGTTTGAATCCTGAAATATAGATTTGGTCCTTGGATAAGTGCAAATGTACAAGCAATCTTTCACCTTGTACCATTGGAGGCATAACCTGCTGTTTACCTCATTCATCAAGACCCAGAACAGGGCAGGTGGGAGCCGTTAAGGATGCATCTCATCCTTTTTTTACTGTTACTATTATGACATCCTAGTGTGGTAGAATAGAGAAAAATAACGCCTCTTTACGTGGGGCCTTTTAAGGTGTTTAATGTTTACGTGTTCTTACAAATGTTATCTGTTTATGTGATTCTTGTTGTTATTATTATTATTATTAT